TTATATGACCAGCCCATCGATGCTTTGCCTTAAAGACGTATTCCGCTGGATCGCGAAGACGAGACATTGACCTCATATATGAATTGCGAAGTCCGACGAGATGTTGGGTGCGTCGGTTGAACTTCAGAAGACGTCATTCTAGCGCTCTGTGGGTTGTTCGGAGTGCTTTCGACATAGCCACGGTGTCAGGCCATGTCTCTGCTGCGTAGCAGAGCGCAAGGACAACAGCTGGATCGATCAGGTGGGCTTGGAGCTCTAGGTCCGTCAGCTGGTCTGTGGCTTCCTTCAGGGGCCCAAAGGCGGCCCATGCTGCTCTTTACCTCCTGTGTTCTTCTTGATTGTTCCCCATGTCGTCCGAGATACAAGTATGAAAACGTCTCCGCAATTGAAAGCCCTTCTACTTTCATTTCTTTTCATATAAAAAGTCGTGAACTGAGTCGTTGTCCTATTGTTTCGCAGTCCTATCCGCTTCGCTGCTATAGTCCAGTTCTTTCAACATCGTCTCCGCTTTGATGGTATTTGAGAAAAGAACAATGTCGTTTGCAAAACACGAGAACAATCTCCCATTACTCGTAAATCTTTCTTGTTTTAATCCATTGATTACATTACCAACTGCAAGGCGGCGGTTAACAGCTTTGGCGACACTGTTGTCTCTTTGGAAATGGAATGCTAAAGTAGGGATGAAAAGCTGTGCCGTTGTAGAGCAGTCCTTGTAGTAGTCGGCCAAAGTCACCCTAAGATGGGTCCAGCCTTGGTGAAGCTCTGACAGTATGACATTAGTTTTGACGCTGGCAAACTCTTTCTCTTAATCAACGAACTTTAGGAGAGGTAGTCGGTACTCTCAACAATTCTCGATAATCCTCGAAACCGTGTGGATGTGATCCATGCAGCTAAATCCCTTGCGAAATCCAGTTTTTTTAAAGCTTAGGCTTCACACAGTGTTCTTGATATGCGAGTGAGAATAATCTCTGTGAATAGCTTGTAAAGCACGCTTCAGGCATATTAAGTAGTACCGAAGATCCTCCCTATAAGCTTTCTTATCAAGAAGGATTATTTGGGCCACTGATCGGGTATCCTTTCCGCTAGGTGCGCCACAAGAATCTCGTATGCGATGTCCTCTAGCTCGTAAAGTGCCGGCCAAAACGTGATCCGATTTGGAGCTGTGGCTACATATATGGTCTGGATTGCGGCGCGTACTGCAGCAGATAAAATCTGGGGTAGTTTCTCCAGTGGGGATAACGGCGTTTGACAGGGGTGTTGATGAGCGGAGGAGTTTGGTGTAGAATCAATTCGTGATCGATTCCATTTTCTGTCGGGAAGATGTGCCTTCTTCTTCCGCTGAATTAAACAAGAAGGTCCATTCTTTGTTTGTCAATGGAACACGGTAACCGAGAAGGTCCCTGCGGTGCTTCTTCATACTTTTCTTTCATTGTGCTGTTTCCAAAATTTGGACTAACTATACTTTCGAAAGTCTTCCCAAGCTGTTCTGCAACTGGTATTAGCTGTCAGTCGTTCGAGATGTGATGCAGCAGTCTCAGAGCTCTCCTCTCAAGCCCCTTGGTGGCTTCCATTTCGTTCCACTCCCTGAGGCATTGAGAGAATTTCACCATAAGCCCTTATTCCTCTGGAAAACAGGTTGTAATCCTTTGTTGGGTCCTCCTTGACGGGCCAGTTACAGTTGTTGAGGGGCTCCTCCAATTCATCACTTTTGCCGAAGGGGACGGTGATTTACTGCTGAAGTGCCGCCGAAACGTTCAGTAGGCACCGCTTTCGGTTGGCAAGATTGTGCTCAAGTTATTGAGCCGCACTTGGGCCGCTTCAATGTCCACCGCCAATTCTTCCTACATAAAGATGGAGTTGCCATCAAAAATGCGGAGAATAAGAGCCTAATAAGACAGTTCTCATTCTCACTGCGGAGTCTTGATCCAACTCTCCCATTCTAAGCTCCCCTTCTTCTGGCATCCGATTTTTGCGTAGAAGTCACCCATGACGAAATTGTAGAAGGAACTTTTTTTGCGGAAGTTCCTCCAAATCCCGATAAAAGTCGCTAGTTTGAGTCATCAGCTGCTGATGTTGGAAAATAGCAGTTAGTGATAGTATGGTTTTTTGATGCAGAGGACGGAGCCGAAGGGCCAGGCGAGGTGATAGGATCTCATGCGATTCAACAAGATAGACAACAGATGGGTGTACAGCAAATTCAACGCCTTCAACGTTCTGATGAAACTTTCTCACCACGAATGAGGAGTGTGCTATCACTCAGCTGTCTGATGTCCGTACTTTTTTGCAAGGCGATGTAGTTGATGCGTCCCTCAGCTTCAAAAGTGGTGTAAATTGTATTAGCGGAGACTATCATAGCGTTTAAAGCGCAGAGCATGAGGCAATCCCTATGGCGAGCCACATGCCTTTTGCTCAATCCATGGCGTTTTGTGCAACTTGAAGCTAGTCTTGTTAGCATCCGACGCTGGAGCTGTAATCCAAAGCGCAGCGCCTTTTTTCCTTTTACATGCTGTACAAGCATTAGATTTTTGCCCAAAGTTAGCAGCGTGTGCGAAATTTTCACCTCAGGGTGTCGCTGACTGTGGATCAGAGAACCAATTAGCAACTGAGTCAGCCAGACGGCGGCGATTCCGGCAGGGCTTATTAGCTGAGCGGGAGCAATAAACGTCGACTCCTTCTCAGCTTGAGAGACCTTGCTGAATGATATCCTCTGTACTTTGCAATCGGCATCCATGGTCACCCCCGCGCTACGATGTAGACCATCATGGAGGAAAATCAACAGTCAACATGCACATACTTGTAACGAGTAGATAACCGGCATGTTAGATGTGGCCAAAATAGTTCCATCAACAAAGTTGTTATAGCACTGACAAGACGGTTCTTAAGTTACTTTTTTATATAGATGTCTAACAGATCAATAAGATGTACAAAGGTATTATAAAGAGTCACGGATTGCTCTATCTGTTTGCACACGGGCAATAAATAGTAACAAACTAAGGCATGAGTTAATATTACAAAAGTGCAGAGCTTAGTCAGTGCAGTTTATCTACTCATGGCTTGGAACATGCTCAGTATTTGGTATTGTGCAATTTTTGTGCGTTTTTTGTTGCTAAGGCTCACATAAATTTTTGTCAATAAATCTCCTTTATCCTAAAAGCTTTATTGTTTTATTGAAAATCTTAAAGCGTATACTTAAAAAATTATACTTTACCTGTTTGTTGATTTATATTATTGACAAATTTTCAAGATTTAGAGTTACACGGAATATAAGTCAAATTTGAGCCATTTCCAACTAGTCCATGCCAGACTAGGTGAGTGCGATAATTATTACATTTGGTTCTTCAACTGCTAACAAAGGCAGTGTAGGTTGGCGATTTAAAAAATTTGTGAGGCGAGCCAGAGCCGTAATGAGAAATTTCAAATTTTGTCTCCCCTATCATATTCAAGGTTTTTCATAACCCAACAATCTTATCATAGAGTATCTCGACAACTTCTGGCACAAAAATAGCTCAGAAAAAAGAACTATATCAAGACAAATTTAAATGATATTAAGCTACGTGCATTTGCAAAACTATTTCATTGGCAAAAGATATGCAGAACCATATGTTTATAGATCATTTTAAAATTGTTACGCTGAGATATTTGCAGGTTAAGAGCAAAATCACGCAAAACATTGGAAGCAACCTATTTAATTTGAAGTGTGGAAGATTTTTACATTCAATAAGCCTCGACTTCTAATTGCACGCTCAATAACACACAAAACGCCATTCCTTCTAGAATTTGATTTCTTGTACAATCTCTGAGGTATCTTTTATTATTTAGATATTAACCGTCTCTAGAAAAAAAAATTAGTCGCGTGGTTAGTAATCTTCGTTATCAAAAAATTCGATGGCAGCCAAACTCGCTTTACAATTCCAGCTCAAGTTACCTTTTTCAAAAAAGGCATCTGACAAGCTAAAAAGCACTCCACCTCGCCATGATTGCATCACGTATCACATCAATTGAATGAGCAAGAAAAAGGTTCTGAGCGGAGGTAGGTAAAAGCAACCCTAGGGGTGCGAACAGTAAGCTAGGGTACCGTCCTTGAAGAATGCTAGCTCACCCAAGGCTATCCAAAACTCAAAGAACCCCAATAATTACAATGAATATGGGCGCCACACTGACATCTCGGATAGATTCCCAGAAGATGACGAGCAGATATAGCCTGCTTGCTCAGGCAAACGGATGTGGTACAAGATTTTCTACAATGGTGCGTAACAATAGAAATGGTGTTGTCTCTGAATACGTGACGCCCGGAGTTAAGCGAGCAAATGTCTGATTCATAACTAACATGACATAGAAATCGACATTGAGAAAAGATCCTTTAGTTACTGGTTACGCTTTTTGAGTTGGATGCAAAGAAATGACATCTTCTGGCAGCGCGATGATCATATCAGTTTGGTACCACAAAACAAAATAGTTTACACGAAGGGGACCCGAACATGAAAAGCGAAATGGAGCAAGAAGTTTACAAGCTGAGAAGTTGAAATTGAGACGAGAAACGCATAGAGAAGGAGAGTTGGTTCCAAGAAAGATACGGAGTACTAAAAAACCAAGATAAACTCACAAGAACCCAGGACATCACGAAAAGATGACGGACATACGTCGAAGAGATAGTCTACATTCTGGCTGCATCACCTCCAAGTGATCCTGTAGGCCAGTGCCATACATCAAAAGAGGAAGTTTGGCCTACAATAGCGAAGACTAAGAATAATAACGGCCGATACATGATGCAGATGGTGACTTCAGCAAGTCCTGGAAAGAGTGTGTACGTTGTAGTACTTCCTAGCTTTTAGCTAGGCTCTAAGCTCTCCTCATTGAGTTGGGTTTTCAGTACTGCTGACGCCATCTGATGGTAATGAAAATCATAGGGGAACTAAAAAGGGTTGGATGCGATTCTCATGCTTTCAGCTTGAAGAACACCTAACAAATACCTCATGACGTTATACGTTTGCGCTTCGCGGTCGCATGGTCACAGAAGATATTGTTTGAATAATCTATGATGAAGCTATGGCCATGTACAAACGGTACGCGGCCGTTTGGAAGTTCAGCCAGCGCCAGAATCCATCAAGGCTCATACCCTCTTCATTAAGGCCTCAAACGATAACACCATGTAAAGTCCTCTCAGAGATGCGATCTTGATCGTAGAAAGACAAAAAATTCAAAGCAAAAATGCAGAGATGAAAGGACCAACTGAAATTGCAGGCTCAAAGCCCAACTCCAGAAAGCAATTATGTAGGGGTGAAAAGCCAAATGGCGGTGAGCCAATCAGTTCAAATATAGGAAAGCTGCACAGAAGAAGGAAGAATGAGACGAGCTGTCGGCCATGATAAGTACATCCTGGTTGATCCTCTGAGATAAACAAATGCCGTTACATCTCACATAAATGCATCGTACTATGAGCCGCTTAACAGCACGATGCGGCGGTGAATGTTGACCAAGTGCAAAAATGAAAAGAAGAAGCACGTCGGGAGGCTAAGACGCGAAGACCTTAGTTTCACGATGGTTGATTACATCTGTAATCAACCATCGTAAAATACGATATAGTTAGATCGTGAGTGAACATAGCTCCAATTGTCTAAGAAACGCAGGAGAGGAATTTGCACTGATGGAAATGTAAATAGGAGAGAGGAGAAGCATAAAACAAACTTAGCTCTAAAAATAGTGCTAGATAAAGATTACAAGGGAGACCAAAAATGAGCTGGATGGACAAGATAATAACGGGAAGTGATGCGAGAAATCTTGGGTTAGACGAACAACAAGCTTTGCATAAGTAATGTGGAAGGGCTTAACTCGAACAGCAGATTGAAATAAAGAGATTGCAAGTGTAATAATATTTGTGCATAGCTACTCGGTAAGTCACCCTATACCTTACATTTATTCCTTGCTCTTTACTAATTCTCAACATTCTCTATATTGTGGTATATTGTGAGAATACCGTTTCTCATGCTCTTTGCTTACAGACGTACAACTTCGATAACAACGCACTTAGCCTCGTAAGGAGAGGAGGAGCCGGCTGGAGGAAACTACGGGCAGGGAGGAACAAACGACGACGCGAGCCTGCTCATTTTGTGGCTCTTCCTATTATTTATGTTCATTTCCTATTGCTGTCATGTCTCGCTGTATGACTGAAGTAATGTCGAGTTTAGAGATAAATCGTATGAAGTTTCTTCTGTGGATGCTTCCGAGGCTTTGTGAGTTATGAGATATATCTCCATCGGGGAAGAGGACGATAGGACATCTATTACTCAAGGAAAGTATATTAACTATTTTTGATACTTGAAAATTACATC